CCTGTTGCCTGTAATTTCCTTGCCATCTTCTTTCTTTAGTGGACCTACAGTTTCCTTGACTTTTTTCTTGTTGTTAATATGTTGGAAGAAACTTTTTTTATTATCCTTGATTTCTGTTGCAAGTCTTTGTTTGTTCTGAGCCTTTGTTTTCCTGACTTCATCTTTGCATGTTCTAGCTCAGTGATGGGACCTTTTAGAGACTGAGTGCCCAAACTGCAACCCAAAACCCATTTATGCATCGTCGAGTGCCGGGTGGGTGTGACCCATTGGGTGGGCATGGCCCATTGGATGGGCGTGGCTGCGGTGGTAACGGCAGACTGGGTGGGACTAAAAGTTCAATCAATCAAGTCCAACTTTGCAAGATCTTTTTTTTCCCCGCAAGAAGTTGAAATTGACTGATTGAACCTTTTTTTTTTGCACACGGTGGCGGAGGCCTAAAGCGAAAAGGTTTTATAAAACCCAGCTGAAGGCCTAGGACTGGGGCAATGGCGCACGTGCCCATAGAGAGGGCTCTGAGTGCCGCCTCTGGCACCCGTGCCATAGGTTCGCCACTACTGTTCTAGCTGACTGCTGATAATCAGCCTTAGTTATGTGCCCCTCTTTCCATTTTTTGTATTTGTCCCTTTTGTCTTTCAATTTGTCAGAGAAATCGTTGTGCAGCCATGTTGGTTTCTTCTTGAATTTCTTGTTTTTCTTTTTCAGTGGTATTGTGTTGATATGGGCTTTTATGATAGCATTTTACAGAATTTCCCCATGCTTCTTGGGTTGTTTTCCCCTTTAGGATTCTTCTCTATTCCATGATATTTTGAATATAATATATAGTAATGGATCTTGTGGCTCCTAGTTTGGGAAAGAGCTTTGTATTATTACTTACTAAAGGAAGTAGAAATCTCATCACAGTATCCATAACTCCATCTGTTGTAGTAAGATAATATCAGCATATTATAATCATCTGGGGGCTGTTTATACTAGTTGAGTTTATTCCTCATTTTCCACTGTGTCAGTGATTGTGACTGTTTAGAGTTCATAATTTTAGTATCAATCAACCAGCCTTATTTGTTTGTTTCCCCTCTCTGCTGTTTCTCCGTTGCTTTTTGTAACATCTTCTTTGATGAAGAGATTTGAAGATCTTTTATACAATCTTTGTTGTGGCATGTTAAAGTGGAAATGGAATAGGGATAATTTATTACCTCAGTCACAGAACGTTTCCAAGGGTTCCCAGCAAAAAAAAATAAAATCATAAGCATAGCCTGGTTAAGCTGAACCTCTAACATATACTAGTCTGTCTGGCAGAGAATGTTTAGTCCTTCATTATACATTTTTCTCTTGAGCCAAATCCCAGGAAGAACAGAAAGGAAAGTGCTTTGAACCATCCTATTCAAAAACGTGAAATACTGCCCATTACAAAGTTTGTGCCAGTCCAGAAACAAAAAAAGCTAGACATGAAACAATGCAGTTTTGTAGGTGAGGAAACATTTAATAAGAAATTCCCTTATTAAGTCAATTGTCAAATCTTTATTTTTTTAAAAAAAAGGAATGTAAAGAAGATAGCAACCACACAGAATTCCAAACAAAATCCACATTGTTAGCTTAACAACTACAGTATTTACTTATTATGAGTTTATAAGATCTTAATTTCAGAAATTATTCAAAATTCATTGTAAAGGGAATGTCTGGGGAGAAATTACATGGTCCTTTTTGTTGGCAGGCCTTCCTTCCTATTGCTATTGCTTTCTATTTTTTGAACAATATCAGTTTTATAGAATGTGGAGAATAATGGAAAAACAAAGGTACCCTTTGGAGAGATTGTCAGTTGGTCTCTTCAATCAAGTAAATGCTTAATCTCTGATATCATTAAATTTACTAGTTCATCAACATTTATCTAGTTGAACCTGCTTTCCAAATTATCTTGGTGAAATGATAACAGTGCTGATTAGCTGCCATCAATTATGCCATTGTATAAATGCATTTATATGGAGGAAGCTTTTTTTTTTAAAGAAAACAAAAGTGAATTCTGTTTACTCACATCTCTCAGCCAACTTATCTGATGCTTTAGCAGCCATTCAAAAAAAAAAATACAGGGTTTTTTTTTCACACCAGTCTTTCCTTTTATCCATAAAATCTAGAGATGGCCACTTCCTGTGAGTGTCATGACATCCTCATTTGGTATCTAAAATTTCCATGTTAATAAAAAAATACTTCATATTATTTTACTGATTTGAAAATTGTGGGATTTTGGTATTCCCATCTAATAGCTTGCATATTTTTTGGCAAGAGCACCAAAATCTCATATTGCAAGCAAAATGCCAATAACATTTATGATTTGGTAAGCTAGCTAGATAATAATTTTTTTCTATTTAAAAATTATTTCACTGTGTCCATCAGTTACAATCTTCAGTACATTACATAAACTGTTTGTTTAAAGCAGATTTGACATGTTTGAGAACTACATCTCTCTCTGTAACTAGTAGCAATAATCACAAAGTAAAGCTCACGTTGTGTATGAAAGAATAGTTCTTTCTGTGATGCTACTTTCCTCACATTTCCTTCCATATATCCTGCACATATTTATTTAACTTAACAGAAAAGAAAGAATATAGATTATATTTTTTAGAAACAGAAAAAGATCATATTTGAAAGAAAAAGATGAAATAAGCCAAGATGTAAAAACTGTTTATTTTCACATACAAAAAAGTAATGATGTGAGAACAAATAATGTGTGGTCCAGTCAATAATAGTTAGATTTTGGTACTGTTGCAGCACTGGCCAAAACAAATGAGTACTTGACATACAAATTCAAGTGATATGTGGAAATTATGTTTACCTCTGAGGTCAGTTTTCCAATTTGGCTGCAAGTGCGCAAACGTTTACCGTGAGGTTTGAATTAAATACGCTTTCTTTAAAACGAATCAAATATTTCTGCAGTCATGGAAACTTTGTAAATAGTTTTAATACCTGCAATTTTCATATTCTTCCTGCCTATATTTGAGGTACTGGAGAAAGCATCAATTGAACAGATACTGCAGGAACAGTAATAGTAAACCAAAAGCCTAAACATTTGAAGGACCCCAGGTAGTTGGTGTGGTATAATGGATAAGGTAGTGGACTAAGCAGGGAAAACCAGGTTTATATCAATGCTTGACCATTATAGGTGATTGAGCAGCTTGGTTCACTTGCTCTCCAGCCCAATCTACTCACAGAGTTGCTATTGAAATAGAAAGAGCAATCTTTGAACTCTGTTACAGAAAAGGGGAAATAAATAAGCAATCTCAGTCATTTTATTTATTTTTATTGTGTCTTTGGGTGTGCACGTGCGCAGAAATATGCAATGTCACCTAATGGTGCTTGGCGCCTGAAAAGGTTGTCACCCTGAAATAACATAGGGGCAATTGTCATCCAGGAAGGCCTTGATGACTTTCAAAGAATTTGCTCCCCAGAAAACTGAATGTGGAACTGGACTTCAGTTTTTCTGAACGTTCAGTTTTTCACTCTTGTAGTAGCTTCCTTGCTGCAGAGTGATATCCTTATTTTAGCCACTAGATTTCATTGAAGCTGAATAGGTCTGCTCTGGTTCTGAAGAAAGTGGAATATGCCTAGATAAAAATAAAGTGGCAGGAACAGCCAACACTCCATAAAATAGGCTTAAGATACAGAAGGATCTTGACAGACTTGAACACTGGGCACTATCTAACAAAATGAAATTCAATAGTGAAAAAAATAAGGTTCGATATTTAGGCAAGAATAACCAAATGTACAGGTATAGTACTATAGGTGGTACCTGGCTCAATAGTAGTAACTGTGAGAGGGATCTCGGAATCCTAGTGGACAATTACTTAAATATGAGCCAGCAGTGTGCTGCAGCTGCCAAAAAAGCCAACACAGTGCTACGCTGCATTAACAGAGGGATAGAATCAAGATCACGTGAAGTGTTAATACCACTTTACAATGCCTTAGTAAGGCCACACTTGGAATACATCCAGTTTTGGTCACCACAATGAAAAAAAGATGTTGAGACTCTAGAAAGAGTACAGAGAAGAGCAACAAAGATGATTAGGGGACTGGAGGCTAAAACATATAAGGAACAGTTGCTGGAATTGGGTATGTCTAATTTAATGAAGAAGGGTGACATGATAGCAGTGTTCCAATATCTCAGGGATTGCCACAAAGAAGAGGGAGTCAAGCTATTCTCTAACCTAGAACTAAGGAGAAATTTCCTGACAGTTAGAACAATTAATCAGTGGAACAACCTGCCTCCAGAAGTTGTGAATGCTCCAACACTGGAAGTTTTTAAGAAGAGATTGGATAGCCATTTGTATGAAATGGTATAGGGTTCCCTGCCTAAGCAGGGGGTTGGACTAGATGACCTTCAATATCTCTTCCAACTACTACTACTACTACTACTACTACTACTACTACTACTACTACTACTACTTATTATTATTATTATTATTATTATTATTATTATTAAAGAAACTTTTAAATAATGTACAGTATATTTCAATTTTAGTTCTTTTTTTGTCCAATAACTTCTAGGCAATGTTCTAAACACAGCTTCCACTTAATATCATCCATACAATATAGCTATTATAATAGTTCTGATTCATATAGCATAACTGTTATATGTCTGTTCAAAATAGACTGTTGTTTTGTGTTAATTGTGGTTTATCACTTTAACGTGTATTCCAGAGACAGTTTTTCTGCGATGTACAGCAGAATTGTCTGCTTGATAAACAAAAGAATAATACAACTTTTAAGCTAGGGTATTTTTGTGTACATTTATATAGTAAAGAATGTTGAATTTACATGTAAAATGTATGTGTGGGAGAGGGATTTAGTATATATTTTAGAAGCATAACATGATCATGTAGTAAAAAGATTATATAGAGAGAGGTACAGTTGAACAATATTGATTTCTCTAACAAATTGGCTCCCGTAATGTTTTAAAATATTTTTTCACTAAAATGATTATTGTTTGTTTGTTTGCTTGTTTTTCTATACAGGGCCTGGCTTTTACTTTGGAAGAGAGACAACAGCTTAATATTCATGGATTACTACCTCCCTGTTTTTTCAGTCAAGACAGACAAGTTTTAATCGAAATGAAAAAATTTGAAAGACAAGCAACTGACCTGGATAGGTGAAGTCTTCAAGGGGCATGCTTATCTACCCATCTACTATGGGGAGAATTTTTATAAACACCTCAGTTAAATTAGTTACATATTTTTATGCTTTCCCTCTCTTTCATTCACAGCTCCAGAAATCAAGGTCTATACATCTTAATTTCTGGTTCTCTTCCAGGATCATATCTATAAATATACTGCACCATGCCTGCTTTCCTGCTTTTACCTGTCATGCCTGTTGTAACATCTTTGTTTCACCCTTCATTTCGTCCCCACCTGCCTATTCCAAATTTCAGGCTTTTTTCCCTTTTCATTTAAATGGATATTGTTGCATCCTTTTTTATTAAAATAGAATAGGTCTGTTCTTCCTTTGAAGCAACAAGATGTGTTTCATTTGCCATCTGCCAGTTCTACAGCTTGATAAACTCTGTAACTTTGTGTGGACCCTACAGGCAATAAGACCAAATAAAAGCAGACTATTAGAAGATATAATTCCTCTTTGAAATACTTTTGGCTGTCCATTTTGGAAATTAAGTTTCAAAGAATCAGAGGGAATTTTTGTGGGCAAGAAGGGCGATGCATCTTTAAGCACTGTGTTACCTACTTCCTGAACAGATGAATCAATCTATAACTAGTCCCAATCGGTTTTGCATGTTTGCGTGGAGGTTGCATGATGGTGTGAGGAAGTGTTTGAGAGGTTCTGTGCAAGTCAAGGAAGTGTGTGAGTGTCCCATATGGCATGAGTGTAGAAGGGATGAGGGTTAGGGGGGAGAGACTTACCCCAGTGACATGTGATCTTCCCTACTGGCTTCTCCACTGATTTTTCTGGGGAAGCCAGCAGGGAAGGTTGTAAATAGTGATCCTGTGATCCTGGAGCACTTGACAACTAGTTGTAAGTGCAAATAGGTTGCCAAGCACTCAGATCGTAATCATGTGACTGGGGTGTGTGTGCTTGGACGGCCAGAAATCTGAGGATTAGTCATAATCACCATTCACTCAGTGCCATCATAACTTAGAATGGTCACTGATTGAATGATCGTAGGTTGAGGGCTAATTGTATGTATGCATATTATAATATTATAATAATACTAAGTATTTGTAAAAGGCTTTGATTTTTCTAGCCTGTCTTAGAAAATAGCTAAAAATATCTATCCATCAGTTTAGTACATAAGATCCATGTTAATTCCAAAAGCGAAGAATGGTTCATATAAAATTGAATCTAAACATATAGATCAGCCAAAAACAGCAAACAAAAAATTCCCAAGCTATATGTCAATTTCACATCCATATTGTTGATCCAGGAGTCAAGTATGACAATCAAGAGAAAGGATTATTAGTGATAAGGGAATCTGACCAAACTTTTCATGAGATTTGAAACTTTGCCTAGTAATTTTCTACCCCACAGAGAAATATTAGCATTAGCTGAAATATTATTTGTAATTGTAATGCAAGTTAAATAACATATAACATACAGAAAAACATGAATACAATAACATTTAATAAGAAATAAACTAGAGATGCAAAAGTTTATATGTTTAAAATGATTTAATATAAAAGACCTCACATAGATTGGACCTCCCAAGTGTTGATATGATTATAATAAATAGCAAACTTTCCTAAAATCAGAGTTTCAAACTTCCTTCAATCAAGTTTGAAAGCTCTTAAATGGAGCCTCTGAAAGATCAGCAGATATCTCCTGATCAAGTTCATGAATGTTTGTTTCTTTTTTCTTTTTACCTTTTTACCTCCAAAAGCAGGACTGTTGGGGAAAACAAGGGCAAGTATGAAAGAGCTGGAATTTCTCACTTTCTGTTTTCTTTGATTTCACTCCAAGCTCTGGAAACAACAATAGTTAATAATAGTTATTATTAGTGTAAGTAATAATCACACGTTTGTTCTTTTTTCTCTCAAATATATTTCCTCTCATCCATAGAGATGTTGTGGGTTTTGAAAGAGATTAAGGAAGGACAGGCAACTTTATTACTATTAATAAAAGCTAGTTAGCTGACTCAACTGTGCTAAATTAGATTGGCATGTCCAGAATTTCACTTCCGCTTCTATTTTGGTTACCTCTGTTGGTTGCAAGCATTGCTCGGAGGTCACCCTCTGCTTTTATAAACATCCACTCCCACATCGGGAAAATGGTTATACAGTATGAACCTTGTGAAATACAGTACTTTTTAAAGTGAGGAGTTGGAATCCTACCTTTCTTTCACAATTTTTACTCATATTTTTCACCCTGCTTTTTTTTTTTTAAAAGTGGGGACTGTTAGTTTAAAAAAAATCAGTTGTCAAGGGCAAAGGATATGCATGGGTAGCTTGGCCATTACATATGTGGACTTTTTAAAGGCAGATTCTGCCATTGGCTTTCTAGAAGCAGAATGTAGCGTCCCGGGGTTCTGCTGTAGCAGTGATGGCGAACCTTTTAGAGACCGAGTGCCCAAAAACTGGCCCCACCCCTGTTCCACCCCCTGCCCTGCCCCCCATCCCCCACCCAGGCAGCCCAGCAGCACTATGGTGGTTACACCCTCTGCCCAGGCCCTGCAGCATCAACTGTGCACGATGGGATGTGAGGGCAGAGTCTTGTCTACGCTGCCTGGCTGCCATATTCTTGGCTGCGCTGCTCCGTGTGGGCCACGCTCAGGGGCGACTCTCCTTCAGGGGGGCTGCTGGAGAGGAGGGGGTCATGGGGGGAGTCGAGGCTGGGGCAACCGCACGTGTGCCCACAGAGAGGGCTCCGAGTGCCGCCTCTGGCACCCATGCCAGAGGTTCGCCACCACTGTGCTATAGGGTTTACAGCTATTCTTCACAGTCAATTCTCTCTTGGTAGTTCTGCAAAACCAATAACAAAAGGAATGATGGGGATTCTGTGACTAATGTGAAGAGCCTATGGCCCATTAGCTTAAATGCCAAGCCACACCAGCTGGTTTGGAAAGGATGCTATATATACCCAATACCTATCCCCAAAGTATTTTGTAGGCTTGATAAATGGTGTGTTTTTGAAAAATCAGAAATTTCATTATCTTCCTAATTGTGCTTTGTTTACTACAAAATTGAGGGCAGTTAATACATGGAATAATATTTCATATTCCATACACGGCTTTCTAATAGCAGAAAGATTTTTTAGCAGACTTTTCCTCGTACCTTGCCCAAAGCATCATTTTTATAGAATTTGCCATCAAAGATTACTCCAAAGAAATGAACAGAAGAATAAAGTAAAATTAGACCTTTAAGCAGAAGCAGCTGGTTATAGAGAATGGAAGAAATTTAAAAAAAAGATAATGGGCAATTGTTCAGAAAAAGTCTATGTTTCAAATTTCTGGCTGCCATGAATGCTTGAACAGCTTGGCATACTTTAGATTAGGCGATGTGTAATATGTTTTCCACCTGTTACTTTCCTTTGGAAATGAAATGAAATGTAGATTTTTTTAAAAAAAGATTCAACCAGCAAATTGTGTAGCATTCAAAACTAGCGACTATAAATTCAGGTACTTTAGAATGATAATCTTCCTGAAATTTAAGAGCGTCTAACCGAACTGAATTAGGGGAAAAATAATTAGATACCTGACACAAAACTCTAAAAAAAATCAGATTATTGACTTTCATCATTTTTCCATGTAGCAAATAAATTACTCGCTGCTATTACAGGTTGTCCTTGACTTACAACCACAACTGAGCCCAATATTTCTGTTGTTAAATGAGACATTTGTTAAGTGAATTTTATGACCTTTCTTGCCACAGTTAAGTGAATCACCATCATTGATAAATTAGTAACACGGTTGTTAAGTGAATCTGGCTTCCCCGTTGATTTTGCTGATCAGAAGGTCGCCAAAGGGATACAGCAACATTCATAACCAGTTGCCAAACATCTGAATTTTGATCACATGATCATGGGGATGCTACAAAGGTTGTAAGTGTGAAAAAAGGTCATAAGTCACTTTTTTCAGTGCCGTTGTAACTTTGAATGGTCACTAAATGGACTGTTGTAAGTCGAGGACTACCTGTTTATAGATTTATAAACATTAGGATTAACCTATAACTGTTGTGAGCTGTGTTTAGCTTATGATCTTCTTTAGAACTAGGAGTGGAATTTAAAGGCAAAGGAAGAAGCAGGTTTCTTTAATTTACTTGATGTGTGATCGGGCAATTACCTGGAGGCCACATATGTGGAGCTGCTTGTGGAAGAGTGATCCTTTGGGGGCTATTTTAATAGATTGCAACAGTGCTTCCTTCAAACAGGAAAACAATGCTAAGCTTCAGCAGATGGATAAAATATTCACATGTTGATAGATATATCTAGCTTTATGTTGATGTGGTTTGTGAAAAATAAAATGATTTAAAAGTATTATTTATGATCACTGAATGCATAATAGCTAGCCCTTTTGTCATATTTTAGTCAGATAATAAAAGTAAAAGCAAGATTATGTGGGGAGTGCAGCTCTTTTAGTTATTTTTTTTTAGTCTGAGTGGTCCATCTTTTCAATCAGATTGGGAATAACCTCTCTAGCCCATTCAAAACTGAATCCTTGACTTTCTCACAGTAAACAAAAAAAGATGTTTTTTTAGATTCTAGAAGTGTGTGACAGTTTGATGCATTATAATGTTATATTTCATTTTCTAAACAATATTCATATTCTAACCCACTCTGTCCCTAAAAATATAGAATGAATAACAAAATAAATGATATATATGCTAAATAATTTCACATTTGCTACAGATTCACCAGATTCACTGGTGATACAGTAAAAGGTTTTTGACCAGAAAGAAGCTTTTTCCATCGGTAAAAATAGGTCTAATGGGAAAACAGTCTCCGTTTTATACCTTTTTTTACACTTAATTTACTTCAGAGCTACATATGGAAGTCTGTCTAATTTATACTTCATTTTTCACAGGTATATTTTACTAATGGGTCTTCAGGATCGAAATGAAAAACTCTTTTATAAAGTGCTGACTTCTGACATTGAAAGATTTATGCCTATTGTTTATACTCCCACTGTGGGTCTGGCATGCCAACAATATGGTATAGCATTTCAGAGACCAAGGTATGTAAGGTTATACTTCACTTTTAAGTAATTATACATTTTTCTTGCTTCATAGGTTTTTCTTTCTCAACATAATTGAATGTAATCCAAACCTGGAATAATTAAGATAATTTAAACTATGTTAAGTACACTTTGCAAAAATAAATCATTACTTTATTTTTTTAAAACACTGACAATTAGAAAAGGTTTGGTTTAGGTGGCTTTTCAGAAAAAAAACTAATATTGCCTAATAATAACAATAAAGAAAACTGAAACAAGGAATCCTACTTTAATTTAAAAATTTGAAAATATATTAATATTGTTAATACGCTAACATCATATAACAGTGGATTTAATTACAAAGAAAAAATGTCTGGAGGATATTTTATAATGTATTTTTTCTGTAAAATATTAAAACAGAACTTTAAAAAGGCAGTTAGATTCTGTTACTACCATTGGCAAGCTCAGGTGGTCTCTGCAGTTCACATTTATTTTTCTTCCAGTTGCATTGATAGCCAATTCTTCTCCAGAGCTTTCTCACAGTGTATTTGATTAACATTAGTGTTTATAGCAATTCTTTTGATTCTCTTTTTAAAAGGCGATAAATTTAATCACTGAACCCTTCCTAATATTGAAATACTACAGCAGTCCTCGACTTACCACCATGATTGAGCCCAGAATTACTGTTGCTAAGTGAGATATTTGTTAAGTGAGTTTTGCCCCTTTTACGATCTTCCTTGCCACAGTTGTTAAGTTAGTTAAGTTAAGTTAGTAACACACGGTTGTTAAGTGAATCTGGCTTCCCCGTTGACTGTGCTTGTCAGAATGTTGCAAAAGATGATCACGTGACTCTGGGACATTGCAACCGTCATAAATATGAGTCAGTTGCCAAGCATCTGCATAAATCATGTGACCATGGGGATGATGCAATGGTTGTAAGCAGGGCTTTTTTTTGTCATAGAACGCCCAGAACGGAGTTCCGGCACCTTTTTTGGATGGAACCTTGTAGGATAGGCAAGGCGGGTTGTATAACGTGTGTGAGTTCCGGCACCTTTTTTTTTTTTTTTTACAAAAAAAGCACTGGTTCTAAGCGTGAAAAATGGTCACAAGTCACTTTTTTCACTGTCATTGTAACGTTGGTCACTAAATGAACTGGGAGGTACACAGGCGGGAGAGATTTATCCCAGTGACTTGTGATCTTCCTTTGACTTTTTGGGGAAAATGGTCGCTGAATCAATGGTTGAGCGGTTGAAAGTTGAGGACTCCCTATAATCATTTGTAACATCAATGAGTGAGTTAGGTCGTGAGAAGGGCTGATGGTCGAATTCCGAAAGATCTCCGGTATGGAGAACTAGTGCAGGGAAAGCGCCCCAGAGAGAGACCTGAGCTGTAATATAAGGATATCTGCAAGAGGGACCTAAAGGCCTTGGGAATGGACATTAACAGCTGGGAATCCTTGACCTCTGATCGTTCAGCCTTGAGGCTGAAGACGCAGCATGGCCTTCTCCAATTTGAAGAGACACTTGTGCGGCAGGCTGAGGCAAAGAGGCAGTCCCGGAACTAGCGAAATGGGGGGGCTGGACAGGGGACAGATTGTATCTGTCCTCAGTGTGGAAGGGACTGCCACTCTCGAATTGGCCTTTTTAGCCACACCAGATGCTGCCTTAGGACCTCTTTTCAGAGCACGATACCATAGTCTCTCAAGACTGAAGGATGCCAATGATGGTGAATGAGTTAGACAAGAAAGAATTCTGAGTGCCCTTATTGTAGCTTTTTACCAATTATTGTATTTATATTATTACTAAGAAATAAGGGAAGCAACCTTACAGACAGACAAATATTCATTATATCCTCCTGGCAAGCTATATCATGGAGGGCATATTTTATTTCACTGCCCTAGGACTTACTTTCACAGTCATACTGGAAAAGGGACTTCTGAGTGTTCTGTTTTAAAGCTGCTGATTATTTGGAGACGATCCGGTGGCTGTAAAAGACTATATACTTCCTGCAATTTTCAGACCGCTTCTCTAACATATATGGATATTTGGTTTTGAGGATGCACCTAAATGAATTGGAACCGCATTATTTGACAGCCACAAACGCACCGCTGCCAAGCTTTTTAAAAAGAAGGACCCTTTTTATAGTTCTTAGAGGCCCTTTCACTATGATTTGCTAAACGTTTCCTACTGTTTGGAGATAGGAAATGAAATACGTGAAAGCTTTGTAGACCTGTGATATGTAGACATATCATAATAATAATAAAAAATCCCCTCCAACATGAAACTCCTCCCAAGTCCAAATACATGTTCTTCCCACGCATGCGATGTAATTTCATCCACTTTGTAATCTTTACTTAGGTCCTTTCCAATATTACATGCAGCCTATAGGATAAATTGTGAATGTGAATAAGACACAAAGATACTTGCCTTTTCCAAAATGTACTTTACAGTCATAATGGATAATTACTGAATAGATCTGCTGGTCCTAATAGCACACTGAATCACTGTGTTACCAATAATGGATGAAGTTACAACTGGGTTGCTAAGCTAAAAATATAGTTATAGCATATTCTGAGTATTTAGCTTTATTAATATATATATATATATATATAATACGTTTTTCAGATTTCACCTTTCTGTATCATATCCAAAAGTTTGAAAAATTACAGTCTCAGTAACCCATTCAGACCACCCATCCATACACCATTGAAAGACATTGAAGCCTCTTTCTGAGCACTTTTGAATTATCCCAGAGTTGGAAAAATTGATGTCAGCACAATAGCTCAGATTCATGTTTATGTAATTTTAAGACACATTTTGGAATCATTGGAAGAAAAAAACGCACTTTTAAATTATAAATAAGTGTTTCTGTCTTGTTTTTTAAAAAATACAGTGTAAAAATGACAGAATAACAATTGAATGAGAATAAAAACTCTATGTTTTCTAAACGTTGGAGCATTTATGATATTATTATCATCTCTATAGATTCATGCAGCTTTATAAAACTTAGAACTGGTAACATATCACATCATCTGTTTCATGCACACTGGTACCCCCTGCAATTGTCCTGAGGCTGATCTATGGAATGGCTGTGTGGGAAGCAGGCCCAAGGCCTGCAGGACCTGGGTAGGCCTGCAGGCCCCCTGAAGAGTGGGAAGCAAAGAACAAGCTGCCTCAGGATGTGGGGAAGGCCTTGAGAAGCCTGGATCAGGCCTCCTAAGGCCTCTGTTAACACTGAAGCATTTAACAATATCTGGGGTCACTTAATAACTGTATTTGGGGACAGTAGGGTTGGGGGTTATTATGCAAGGTTATCATGTGAGCGCGTTGCTTAATGACCGTCATGACTTGTGACTGCAATTGGCAGGCTCCATTATGATCCTAATGATTTTTAATGAATTGTTATTCTTTCGATATTTTTTTCCTCCTGCTTCTGCACTTTTTGGAGTTTTGTGGCTAGTGTGTAGGTGTGCGCATATATACAAAGACTCACAAAACCCCCACTCAGGATAGATTTTAGCTGACGTTGGCAAATGTTAAGTTAACTAAGGGAAAGGTGGACATTTCAAAAACCTTTTGTATGTTTAGATATAGGTATTTTTCTGTCTAATCTTTTTTTTTGGACTATCATCTTTAAACCAGTCTGCCATTTTAGTAAACACAATATGGCAGTCATGCATAGTTTTGTTTTTCTTTTACATTCTGTTATGTCTTTAAAGAAGAAATTAAAAGTTCAGAAGCAGCTTCTTTTTCTACATGTTTTCTGTTTTTATACAGGCATGCCTTTGACTAAAGAAGTTAGGGTAGGCATCACACCAGGACATATCCATAATATTTAGATAGATTTGTATATCTGTAACTATATACTGCTGAAATGTTTAGTTTTGCGTGCAGCTGTGTATCATATATTAATATACCTCTACAGTTTTTTTATACGCTCTCTGATTTCTGCAAACATCACTGCATTCCTAGTAGGGGCTGCTATTGCTAATCCATTCTTCTCTTTCCATCGTTCTTCAGGCTTGGTTCCAGAGGGCAAATCATGCATAGTGTATTGGCTTCCAATTCATGTCCTCTGTTTTAGCAAATGTGTATAAAATTGCTGTGAGCAAAGATGTCTCTTTATGGAGTTTGGGGCTGTCTGTCTTGTTTTCTCATATACTGTGTAAATTCATTTCTTATTTCCTTCCTAAAATATTGTGGCTTGCTGCACTGATATGTGGTATGATTATAGATCTGTGCATGCACTACAATTAACTTTTTTTTTTTTACTTAGCATTGTTCTGTGGAAACAACCATTCTGGGTTTTGTGTGATACTGCAACAGGTCACTAGACTTGTTATAGCGCAGAGCCTTACAAAGACAAAGTGTGGGCATGCATGTTTTCCACATAACACAGGTTGTATTGCCTTTCTTTGTGTGATATATTGAGTACACCTTCCACATTATTTTGGTGGTCAGGAATACAGGTAGTCCTTGGCGTATAACAATTCATTTAGTGACTTTTCAGAGATGCAACGGTAACAAAAAGTGACTTATGACATTTTTCGCATTTATGACTGTTGCATAAGGTTCACTTAACAACTGTGTTACTAACTTAACAACCGCAGTGTTAAGAAAAGTCGTAAAATGGGACAAAACTCAACAAATTTTTCAATTAGCAACATACATTTTTGGCTCAATTGTGGTTGTAAGTCGAGGACTACATGTACTCTGATGTTTCTTTAAAAAGCATGCAACAATTGTCTTGTCAAAAGTACTTTAGCCTTTCTTGAAGTCTGGTGGATTTTTTTTTCCCATCAGTGACTATATCTTTCATGGAAACCTGGATTTCTTTCAAATGCAAGTATCTGTTTTCCTTGTTCCAAGAGTTCTACGATTTATACAAAGAAGAGAAAAAGTTGGTTACACCAGCATCTTTTGTGCCTGAAAGTTGATAGTAATCTATCTCTGCTTTCATTTTTAAATGGTTAAAAAAGAAAGAAAGAAATTAATTTTAACAAATAAGAGCCAGTGTTTTTA